AGTGTGCTAAATGGTCACTGTGAGCACCCTGTCCAGGGAGGAGGGTCTGAGGACTTTGGGGGTGAGGTGGGCCCAGGAACTTTATGCTCTCTGTATCCTTCAGCTTTGAGCCCAGAAAGCCTTCAGGCTTTGTTTTGTTCCGGGCTGTTCCAGAGGTAGCTTACTTTTCTGTTAATGCTTTTGTGAATCTGTAATGCATTTTAGCCTGGGCCGGTTTGACTTGGTGGATAGAGGGTGGATAGTGTGTCGGCCCTTGTACTGAAAGAAACCCATAATGTTTTCTTTCAGGGACTATAACTATTACATTTGGCGTTTCTTGCAGACATTGCCAGAGCATATATGGTTTATATACTTTCCAATTTACATTAAGTAGCCTTTACTTGTTTATTTTATTTATTGAAATATATTTTTATTGATTTCAGAGAGAAAGGGAAAGGGAGAGAGAGATAGAAACATCAATGAAGAGAAAGAATCATTGCTTGGCTGCCTCCTGCACACACCCAACCGGGGATCGAGCCCGCAACCTGGGCATGTGCCCTTGACCGGACTCGAACCTGGGACCCCTCAGTCCACAGGTTGGTGCTCTATCCACTGAGCCAAACCGACTATTTTTGTTTTGTTTTGTTTAAAGTATTACATGTTTCCTTTTTTCCCGATTGACCCCCCTAACCCCCGGTAAATAGCCTTTATTACCCTTACTTGCCTCTTCCACCTGCACCCTCTTCCCCTTTAATAATAGAAAATTCATTCTTGTGAGAGTATGAAACATTGGGTATGTATTTTAGATATAATGTATGTGAAGGATTTAAGTTCCATAAAATAAAACCTGATTCCTCTTTTCCTTCTGCCATTATTCTGTTTCTTTACCATATGATTATTCTCATATGGGCTTTCAAAATTCTGTTCTTTAAATGTATTAAAGAAATTAAAACTTTTGGTGACCCTTTTTCAAAGTGATTTCTACCTAGAGATTGCTTTGGATGATGGGATAAGAATAAGCAGATGTGTTGGTACAAACAAATGATAAAGAAGCTGAATTTTCTTTATTTTATTTTTTCTTATATCCTTACTAGAGGCCCGGTGCATGAAATTTGTGCAGGGGGGTGCAGCCCAGCCTGCACCCTCTCCAATCTGGGACCCCTCGGGGGATGTCCGACTGCCGGTTTAGACCCAATCCTACAGGGATCAGGCCTAAACCAGCAGTCGTACTTCCCTCTCACAATCCAAGACTGCTGACTCCCAACCGCTTGCCTGCCTGCCTGCCTGATTGCCCCTAACTGCTTCTGCCTGCCAGCCTGATCACCCCTAACCACTCCCCTGCCATCCTGATCGACATCTAACTGCTCCCCTGCCAGCCCGATTGCCCCCAACTGCCCTCTCCTACCAGCCATCTTGTGGCTGTGGGCGCTGCCATCTTTGAGGGTGGGGCAGTCAATTAGCATACCCCCTCCTTATTGGCTGTGAGTGCCACCATCTTTGTGATGGTGTGATGGTCAATTAGTATATTCCCGCTATATTAGATAGAATCATGCTGGGAGAATTAAGCAAAGTACTTTAACCTTACATAATTGAGCCCATTTAAAAATTTGGGCTAAGATGATGGAATTGTGAAAGTTAATTTCTTCTATGAAGTTTTAAATTTGGGTATAATTTCAAGCTGTAAATACAAGGTTTTACCTTATGAGATTTGTGTTTGTAAGTCTAGGTTCTTGTGAAGGAAAAGCTAAATTGTCAAGGTTCTGCTGTGTTTGCAGGAGATGGCAAGAGACCTGAATGTCATTCTATCATCCAGGAGACAAAGCCCTGGTCCTTTCTTTGTCCTTAAGTGAATTTTAGGATTTGTGGAGAGCGGCTACAGTGTTTGGACAGGTTCAAGCCTTGGACTAATGAGAGGGCACAGTCCTCTTGTGGCCACGTGCAAGTCCCAGCTTGGAGAGCACGAGCCCTCCCAGCACAATTATAGCCAGCAGCTAAAGTTGTAAGCTTGAACCTATGGTTCAAACACATGGCCCCATGTG